ACCAAGAATAATATACAAGAAATCTATGAAAGAATTAATTAAAAACGTGTTTCAATACATAAAAATAAATTCCAACAATAATAGATTTTTTTTTCTATTTTTCTTAATATGTAGGTCATTGTATTTATTAATTATAAAAAATTGATTTGTATAAAAAAGAAATAAAAAATACAATTCTTTTTTATCTTTCAATAAAATTCTGTATATATTCACAATACCGGATACCACCATCTTTATATCCCATTTCTTATTCGGTGACATGCGATTGAAATAGTTTATTGATATAATCTATTAATCTCAATCTGATTTCTCAAAGTCTTCATAATATGTTTCCTTACATTGTTTGTAATTTCTTTAGTTTTTCCGAGATATCTATCATTTATCAAGAACTTTTAGTATCTCAAGATTTAGAATATAACTCTCGCGGGCTAAATCTTTCAAAAACAAAACGCACTTCGCTTTAAGATTTGAAACATTGCAATGATAAACACGAAAGTATCCTATGAAAAATAATTCAAAACAGAGGTTATAAAAGAACACGCGGTACACGAATAGCAATACTTATAGTATATAGTTTTTGCACTAGAGTTTACACTGAATATATTACAGAGTTGGGTATAGATGGAAGCAGCGTATTAAAACGGGTTATCGACGACGAAGATACTTCGACAATCGAGAAAAACAGGCTCTAATACGAGAAAATAGCATCGCGTAACGTACCGTAAACTTGCGTGTAGAACACTTGCTTTAGCTAGATACATTTCTACGAAGAAGGAAAGTCATGGAGGATGCACGGATCGATGACTGGCTGGGAAACGGTCCCGGACAGAATGGCAAAATTCGCTGGTAATATCGCGCACTGTCACCGAATAAAATGGACTATTTGTAACCTCGTTTGACTATGCGATAATTGTCCCGTGCCCTTGTTTATCATAACGGGAACGCATTTTTTTTTTGTTGCCGGACAAAAAAGATAGCGGGACGATATGTCATGATCAAGAAAAATGTTTTCTGAAAATTATTTTACAATTTCGAAAAATGACCTCGAGATTATGCAAGAATCACGATTACGGATAATAGTCAAAGTGTATACATTTGATATTACGTAGATAGAATAGCAATTCACAAATGGAATGTTCTATGATAAATATCTAAAAACGATAGTTGTGATTAGCAACGTTTATTTCCGATAATAGATCAATGACTAGACTGAGAACATGCGACCACGAGATGCATTCGAAGGTTTCGAAAGCATGCATAACGTTAGACATACACGACATTCGTGTGTTTCTCAATAAATTTCATCGATAAGAAACACTCACTGCCAATGCTGAGAGTTCTCCATCGTGTTTTTCGCTTAGAACCCTTCTTGCCCATTTCTTGCGAAGACCGAGCTGGTCCTCCTCCCTTCTGTCTCTCGTCTCCCCAGCGATCTCGGCCAACCTTCTAGAACGACAGCTCCACCAAAACCATGTTGATCATGATTGATCTTTCCACTACCTTCGCGGTAGCATTTTATGAACTGTCCACCGAACAGTGTATCCCGCGTTACTAGTCTTTTTGAGAAAAAAAGCTTTGGAACGAAACGAACCAACAAACGAGGCCTGCTCGTAGCAGAAGACAACTCTAATACGTAATCCGCGCCGCACGAATAGCGACCGCATACTGCTGTCCCCACCTCACCCCTCCCTGTTGGTCCCCACCCTTCTCGCACTGATCCCCTACCACTGCTTGTGTCATATTCGATATATCGCGCTATATGTTCAATTTCTAATCATATTTAATACGATTTGAAAAGACTTTTTGATAAGAAATATATACACATGATATTTCTAAACTAAATTATAATACAGGAGTATATAGATATTGAATGTCATACAAATTTTCAGCAGTAAAACTAATTAAAAGTTTAAACTTTAAGGCTAAAACTTTTTGAATAGGAGCCAATTGTCACATGCGCAATAGTTTAATGATTCTGTGTCACGATTGGATGTTGCCATAGTAACCAGAGTAAGCTTTTACCCGCCATTTTATCCGGCTTCAGACATATTAAGGTATGATCTTTTTTGTATCATGGAAATACTTTTAAAATTTTTTTTTAAATTCTATTCATTTTAATAATAGTACTTAATATTTCCGAGAAAATTATTTTATAAATTTATTATTTCTTATTTAAATATAAAAAAAATAAATATATTTCTTCATTTTTTATTTTTATAGGTTAAGCAAATTTATTCATAAAACGAATAATCATGATGAAAATATTATCATTGCATGAATTCGATGTTCCTTCCTCCGATGAATTGGCTACTGTTGCACTTATAGAAGATGTTTTACATTATTGTGAATATGAAAACCTAACAGATGAATTGCAACCCTTTTTTAAATATGTACGAGAATATCCCGAGATTTCTATTACTCCTGATATTCTTGCTACACGTGAAACGGCACATACTATTTGTGCTGATGATTTATTTTTGCCAGTTCATGATAGCATTTTTAAAAAACTTGCTAGCATATGCAGAGAAAAAGGATTTATTGAAGCTGTCTGTTTGGCTGCATCTGCAGAACCACAGGAAGTGACACCAATTTTGCATTGGATAGCTACAAGGTATCAATAATAATTAATATTTAAGATTTTTTATTTCATTTTTATTTAAAATATTTCTTAATTTAAAATTTAGACTTAAATGGATGTTAGATATAATGGATAAAGGAATATATCAAAAAGAAATTTTGCCAACTTCTGGATCTGGATCAATTGCTGATATTGTTCATACAAGGGATTGGGAAACATCTCTTGTAAGATTGTATTGATATAAATGATTTGATATTTTTATAATATATATTAAAGTTTTTGTGATAATCTTTAGATTAGATGTCTCTCTTGGCATCCACATTGTACACGACTGGCAGTAGTCACAAGAGATGACCGTATACGTATTTTTTCTCAAGGAATATCAATGGTACCAATTTTAAAACATAGTGCTCAAAAATCTGTTTGCTGTATAAGTTGGAGGCCACTTGCTGGTAAAGAATTGGCCGTGGCATGTCATGTAGGAGTCTTGGTTTGGACAATAGAATTAGGAGCAGCTAGTAATTTTCTTAGTCAAGCAGTATTATTAAAACAAAGAAATCATGCCCCTGTAACAAGTGTTGCATGGCATCCACAGGGTGATCTATTAGTATCTTGTTCTCCTGTGGATACGCGTATGTTTATCTGGGATACTTCTAAAAAAGAAGGTGTTCCGTTGAAACGAATTGGTGGCGATGGATTATGTTTTGTACATTGGTCATCTTGTGGTTTTAGATTATTTTCTGCTACATGTAAAAATATATTTAGGTATAATATTTTCAATATTTGTATTTTTATATAAATTTTATTTTATATATTAATGATTATATGTAGAGTATGGAATACGGGAGCAACAACATCGTGGCATGCAGATAAATGGACAGTGCCTAATGATCGTGTAGCAGTTGCATGTTTTGGTCCAAATTTAACTTTATTATTTGCGTCAAATGAAGATCCTGGTACAATATTTTCTCTACCTCTGCAAGAAAATATTTTTGACGTCAAAAAGCCTTCTTTTGACGATGCAAAAATGGCAGTACCTCTGATAGATTTAACAAAAGTTAATTTTTCACTGGATGATGATTGTGTTACTGTTGGCGGGAGGATAACTGCAATGGAATGGGATCCTACAGGAAAATATCTTGCTATTCTTTTCCAGGTATATTTTTTTATTTTATTAAACCTAACTTAACTTAATCTTAAAACTTTATCTTAAATTGTATACTTTAATAATAGATTTTTTTTAATTATTTAGGATAGTCCATATATTGCATTAGTTAAAACAAAATTAGGACATCTATCGCGTCTAATTGAGATTAAACCAAGTTGTCTTATTAAAGGATATCCGGGAGAAGTTCCAAATTGTATGAACTTCTATCAGAAATATAAAAATGAATCAGACAATATAGTTTGTTTAACAATTGCATGGAATAGTGGTCGTATTCAACATTTTCCAATAATTGAGAAGGAAAGTGTTCGTACTGTAAATATATGTACTACACCTTTATCACATTCATTTTCGATGAGACACGACATGTACAATTTCAATTTAACCGTTACTTATTGATAACGTTTCTTGTTAAACAAAACTATAAAAATTTTAATTATTTAATTATTAATTTTTTTCAAATTTTTTATTTGTTAATAGGATTTAATATAAAGGTTTAATTTATTTTATTACATCGTTATAAAAAAATAAGAAATGTTCATTTATATATGATATGACGTTCTTAACTACCACATAACATTTCGACAAAAATTATATAATACTTCATAATCGATTCATCAGCACTTCGTCTAGAAGAAAAAACATCATTGAGACCTGTGTTAAACTCTAATGTGTTAGCTTCCTAACGTATGGAATATACAACACGAAGATTCTCGGGTTCGGTACCTAATTATACAAAGTCACATGCAGAGCGCACGTCTTTCTATTTTTATATCGCTTGACCGAATGCTGAACATCGACACGTATGTACGTATGTGATGCGTCCCGCACTATTTCCAATACGCTCTCCATCCACTTTTACCACTACCAACTCCAAACACAAATTAACCGTTCCATCGTTTTAGAAATCCTGTCGTCCTAAATATACATTTTTCAAATCCAGTTTATCAATTTTGCTCTGTCACTTTATTCATGATTTATGAAATGTTATATGATATATTGAAAAAATATACTTAAAATTTTTAATATAATTGTTGCATTTCATTTAAAATTGATCAGACAGTCAAGATCATTGAGAAATATTCAAACAATATTTATTATATTAGCAATATATATCTAATACCATATATTTAATATTTACAATTCGTTATTGTTTCGTTTTTTTACTATACTATTCGATGATTTATTTTAGAAATAAATTTCAGCATTATAAAAAAAATCTTTTTAAAAATCATAAAAGATTAAGATATTTTTATCTAACTTAAAAATTGAATATTAAAAAATAAAATTTTAAGATTTTTAGATAAATAATTGAATTTTAAATCAAGCTCATTTCTAATTTCATTTCTAATTACAAAAAGTAATTTCCTATAAGTGACATGCCTAATCAATTATCAGTATTAGATAAACTGGTTTTAAAAATTCGAGTTTATTCATATAGAGAATCTAGAAGAGGGGATTAACCGCTTTGAATCCCCACCGATTAAAAATTCGTTAAAACACCTTTTTTTTTCTCTCCCTTCTTCATTCTCTCTCTGTTATTGCATCCGTATGGGGTGTACGATCGAAATCCTTTTTCCAGTATATTTATTTTAATGGCAGTCGTACACATGCGGTGACTATGGTACGAACAGAGTTGACAGGTGCCTGGACAAAAAAGCGTGGTCGAGAGCGAGCATAGTATGTATAATGTAAGCATAGAGGGCTGGCAGGCCACATGTGCCACTCTATCACTTATCTACCCGTAATATGACGTATAACTCGACCATAAGATGCAACTGTGAACGCATGTGTATATATGTATGCGTGAATGCACAGTCAAGATACGTGTATATATATAGGGATGAGTAGGAGGATGAACGGACACGTTTCTGTATGTATGTGCTTGGAAGAAAGCATCCGAAGATCGTGATGTCACGAGAACTGCTTTGGAATCATAACAATGCGTTTTGGACAATATTGATGAATTGCAAATGGTCTTTTTTTTCTTTTTATTCTTTCTTGCGTTATCTAAAATATTGTTCTAATAGTTTATCTTGAATTATTATTGTAGATGACATTGGTGATAGTAACAATAATGCTTATGAAATTATACATAAATGAAACTTGGTATATTTAATAAGTGAACTATTAAAGTAAAAATTACAATTAATTGAATAAATTAATTTTTTGGTTGTTTACGTTAATATTTGTCAATGATTTAAGGATATGTAAAGGTAATAATTGTTATTAAATAATTATTTAAATATTTTTTTAGTTATATCAATTATAAAGAATTTTTTATATATTGGTTCTTAAAATAGTCTGATAGAAAAAAAAATTGAGTGATATTAAAAATAAATAAAATAAATAATAATAAATAAAATAAAAATATGGAAAAATTAGAAAATGTCATAAATCAAGTTTTGATACTTAAAATTAATTGGCATCAAAAAAAAAATAATTATAACGTCAATATATTATATATTATAAAATTATTAAAAATAGATATTTCTTATTTTTCTCTATTTTGAATGTAATTTTATAAATTTATTTGTATATATTATATATAGTATTTTTTCTAATTTTATATTTACATATTACTAATAAAATATTTATTTAAAATCATTTTTAAATTGAGCATTTAATTTAATAATATTTAATAATTGTTTTCAAATTCTTCTTTATTTTCAATATAATAACAATTTAAAATTACCTAAATGATTTCAGAACTTCATATAATCTTCAAGCCTCATATATTCAGCATCCTTAAATCAAGAATATCACATTTATATCAAGAATTTAAAAATATCCTAGTATATTCAAAACATGAATTATATTCCCAATCAAGCATATTTATGTGAAAATTCATGATGCAATTGAGGAAGAGGGAAACAAAGAAATCGGTAAAATAATAGTAGACTGTAATAAAAAGAAGGAGTGAACGACTTATCCTCATATGTGCGCGCAAAGCTGTTGTTAATAAGTGACGCGTGTGCGGCAGCTGGTTTTACGTTTTTTGCCTTGCACCCGATTCTCGGGGTTCGAGCGACGAAAGATCGACCTAAGCACCCCCTTCTCTGCTATTTTCCCTGTTTCTGTCTCTTGCCTGAGTTCTGTCTGTTGCCTGAGTACTCGATTTGGAATATTTCTTAACAGATTTTTATAGAGACACGCGACATGCAACAGAATCAATTAAGAATAAATGAATATTTTTTAATGTTAATAATCGATTAGAAATAAATTTTAAAATTATAATTACTTTGAAAAATATTCGATCATGAAAAATCAAAATTTGTGTATTTATAAATTGGTTAACTCATTTTAAATTGGAATTATTACAACATTTTAAATTTATTTAATTATTATTTAAATTACTTTTTACAAAATTGTTAACATTTTGCAATTGAAGATGAAAATTGTGAAAATCTTATCAATTTTCTCTATTGAATTTCTTTCATTAAATCGCAATTCTTACTTTTTTATTTTCAAATTACAATCAATCCATCAAGTTTTATTATCAACAATGGCATAAATATACATCATACATCACTATCTTAATTTATTCGAGATCTTCCAAATCACTATCAGTAAATTCATTCGATCTTTTTTCTTTCACAAGCCAATACCATTTGATCTTTTTTAGAGATCAAATGGATCGAACCCTATCGATCAAAAGGCAAATACGTAAACAACAAATGACGTAATATCGAAGCAGTTCATCAGCCCTGAAGACAATTCATCGGACATAATCGTTCCAAGAATCTAGGAATGGATAAAAAAAACTCTCATAGAAGATGAATTCGAATGGGCAGCCAAGAAAAAGAGAGACGACAGACGCGCATGCAGATGTTTCGCGCCACCCTGAAACCGATGAGGCTGAGGCAAGTGCACAGAGATGCACACAAGTGTCGGAGGATCTTCTCCTCCTTCTTCTCCTCCTCCTCTTCTTTTCTGTTCCGTGTACCTCGAGGGGAACGAAGCACAGCCACGCGAGTGGGCGGCGCGTACCCTTCTCGAAAGCTTCTTCCCTTGCTGTTTAAACAGGGGTAGAGGGGATTTTCTGTATCGTTTGGAAGAACATTACGATGTCTTGTCTTAGTTGATAGTCGTCGAGAAGACGCGGGAACGAATGTATGCGATCGAGATATATCTAGGGTCAGTTCTGAGCAACGTGTCTAGCCATTTATTCGGCCACCCTGCATCCACTTCGTTTTTCCTCGCGCGATCTTGATCGCGCAAGTACACGTGACGCGTGGACCTTGATAAGTGATAAGCTTATCATATTGAAAGAGTTATTGAGAATCTGTCGAAGAGAAGAGATTTTCTGCGACTCAGTGCTTGTGGAGTTTATTTGGGCAGCTTAAAAATTGAATTTTGTAAGTGGACAGTGAAGAATCAGTTAGGTGGATGTTGATGTTGCTGCAATATGGTGATTTTATCAGTCAGTTGGTGATTTATATTGATGAATTTTGTCGATATTGATGATCAATTGTAAAAGAATCAGTAACAAGTAAAAATATTACAAATAGAATATAAAACGAAAAATATATATCGTGACAAGCATTGTTAATCAATTGTGATTATAATTATAATAGTGAAATCTCAAAGTTGAATAATTGAAATTAATTCTAATAAAAAAGTTGAAAACAATAAAAAATCGATTATATCATAAATTTCGTGATCGTGAATTGAAAATATATTTTATTAATCTGTAAACACACATTTCATTCATAAATTCAATGATATAGCCCAGGATTCTGGAATTCCAGAAATTCTTTCAATACTATTTTACTCACGTGCTGTTCCCGATTATTCGAGCTATTATCGCTTCATATCATGCATGACGAATTGCAACATCTCGAATCATGTTTTTGACGTCTCCGTAACTTTCCATTCAATCTTCTCGCCAACTTACCGTACACAAATTTTGCAAATTTATTTAAATAATTTCTCTATCGTTAAAAATCATTTTCTTACTACATTAATATCATTCACGAATTTACAGATTGCACCAAGATGCATCTTGAAGATTATCACGTGAGTAGAAACGAGGAGGACGTGCAACGAACAATTTCCAAAAATATCAAACAAGAAGACTTCAACACTTTACACTTAGCACCTATCACCTCCATAAACACAAATAATCAACAACCCTGTTGGATCACTTCTCACGCAGAGAACATTTCATCTCCTATTCTACCTAATAATTCCAGTCCTAAAGAATATACAGATTGGGATCAGCTCACGACCGTTTTCCAATATCCCTGTCAGCCATATTCATCTACAGACAGATCACCAGAAAGTACCAGTAACGAAGCCACTACACCAACGTGGAATAACATCATTCATAATGAAATATCAGACTGTTCCAATGGACAAAAACTACCCTCGGTTAGTTCTGCATTTTCTTTCTCAAGAACCTTCTGCAACACCGTTTATCCAGAATATCAAGGTTATCAAGATTATCAGGAATACCAGGATGACGTATCAGTGTCTTTACCGCTTATTCTTCACAATCAAACTGAAGATCAAGGACTCAGTGGATCCATGCAAGCAATTACAGATGAATTTGATCTTAGTTTAATTAGGGGTGATCCTACATCACTCTTGTGTACCAATGTAGAGTCTCCTTCTTCACCCTCATCTATGTATTTAGAAGAACTTCAAGATCCATTTTCTAATTTGAATGGATCTTGTTACGCGGTTGGACATTTGGTTTCTGGACAACAGGCCTCGGTTTCCACGATGAATTTTGTTAATGATACTGGATTGAATGATGGATTTGGAAATCAAATTGTTTTGCCTAGAAACGAAGGCTTATTATTGACTGATAGGAGAGTGCCAGTGTCCAAGACCTCCCAAGATATGGAGAAACGAAACAAATCTTTCGGTGAGTTTGATTTGAATTTTTCAATTAACATATTGTTCATTGACCATTAGTGTATTTATATTAATTGTGAATTAATAATAAATTGTATTCAAGTTTTTCATATAATTATGAAGATATTGAATATTCATTTTCTACAATTATTTTTTTAATCTCTGTATCAAATTTTTTATTCCTCTTTCATTAAACTTCTTTTGCATTAATCATTGTTTTAAACTTAGCTATCAAAAAAGTTATATTATTTATAAAATGATCTAATATATCATCTGAAAAATTATTTTTTTCGCACCTGGTGTACTCGAAAAGTAACCGAAAGGACTTGTTTTAAGAATATCATAAATAAACATAGACTAGTCGAGAAATGGCTCTTGACTACCATCCTTAAGTATAGCAAGTAGTTTCAAGTAGTTTTCCTTAACGAGTCTCGAGATTTACAGCTTGTTTACACACTGGTGACATGTTGTTTCATTTTTAGACAGTTCAACAACCGACGAAAATTTGACGTCGACGTATCAATGTCGATGGATAGATTGCGGTTGCGCTTTTGCCGAACAAGAAGGACTAGTTCGTCATATTGAGAGAAGGCACGTAGAATCTTCGTCATCGAATTCTCATGGACATGGGAGACGAGTCCAAAGGGATAGGGACAAGGATAAAGATAAAGAAGGAGAAACTTACACGGGTTCCGGAAGTGGACAGGATGAATTTGCTTGTTTATGGCAAGGATGTCCTCGTGCTCGACCTTTTAATGCGAGATACAAGCTGTTGATTCATATGAGGGTTCATAGTGGAGAAAAACCGAATAAATGTCCGGTATGTAAGTTTATTAATTTTAAGACTTTTAAAATATGTTTCTTATGGAATACAAGATTTAATGCTTTTATTATAAATAAATTTTGAAGGTAGATTGATTCAATTTAATTAGAATAGAATGTACGTATAAAAATATCATATATTAGATAAAAATGAAATATGGTTTTTCATGATAAATATTTTGGAGTTAGATTGAAAAATCATAAATGAATATACAAAAAGATTTTTATATAAGAAATTTCACAAATAAATTTTTTAAATTGCAAGTCATCTGATTGTTTGATTAAATATAAAATTATAAAATTGATAAACTATATCAAACTTGTGAAATTATTATTATAATTAATAAATTATTGTGCAAAGGAATGCACATATTATCTTTGAAAATATATATTTTGAAATATTTTTATTCATAAATTTTATCAATCAATAATTAACAATAATTTTTATATTTCATGTGTATATTTTTTAACAATATTCTATTTAATAATCAACAAAGTATTTCAAAATATTTATACTAATTTCCTCATCTATATTTAAAATTCTTAAATTCTTGAATAAGCTTTACTAAAGAATAATTAAAAAAATAATTAATTAAAATAAACATCTTTTTTATGATTCATTTAATCTTCTTAAATAATTGCATTATTTAAGTAGTCTTAAATCAAATTTAGTCGGACATGATTGAATTATTGAATTATATTTGAATTTATTTTATATTTTAATTTATTATTGAATATAATTGAATTATATTAACCATTAAATAAAATTAATAGTTGATTAAAATTGCCAAAAATTATTAATTTTTTAATTTTTATAGTTCACTGGGTGCAAGAAGGCATTTTCACGATTAGAAAATCTAAAAATTCATCAAAGATCTCATACGGGAGAAAGACCATATGCTTGTCAGCATCGTGGTTGTTCCAAAGCATTTAGTAATAGTAGTGATCGTGCGAAACATCAGAGAACTCATTATGATACGGTAAGTTTATTATTATTTTATCTAATTGTAAGTATATGAATTAATAAATCTATTTCACTTTTGATATTGAATAGCAAGAGAAAATTTTATTAATAAAAATTTAGATAACAAATAATATTGATTCAAAGAGATTAATATGATGTACTTTTTAATATATGTTTTATTGAATCAGCGATATACATAATTTCAAAACATTTATTACATATTTTGATTTGAATTGTTTATATATTAATGTTTTACAATAAATATCGACAGTAATTTAATATTTCTTTGTTACAAGAATTACAATTGAGAAATATTTTATCATGAAACATACAAAATGTGAAATTTATTTTCATTTGTACTTGTTATGAATAGGTAAAGGAACATTACGTTTCTAAATTACAATTAATTATTTACTAAGAATTTTAAATAATAATTCTTTGATATTTGTATGATGAAAATTATTTTGTATACTGTTAGTTCATTTCTTAAAATAATCAAAATTTTGGTTATTATGATTTTTGTATAATTTAAATATTTATTGAAATTTAAATATATTTCTTTGTAATTGATATTGCATAAAATGTATTACGGAATATTACTCGATCATAAAAAAAAGTAATTTAAAGAAAACTGCTTATCGCTAATGTTGAAATTTTGTAGAGTGAGAGGTCAGTGAATATAAACCATACAACGTATATTGAAATCGTTTAAAAAGCTCGTATTTTCAAATGTAAAATTTTGTTGTTATATAATACAACAATATAAATAACAATCTTGTTGTTAATAAATATTGGAATATTCAAAATCTCATTTGAAAATTTTTATAATTTAAAAATTCTTATTAATCATTTTAAGCAAAGAACAATGTTTATAACACGTACTTATAAATATTCGTTTGAATTTTCAGAAACCATATGCGTGTCAAGTAACCGGATGTGGAAAAAGGTATACAGATCCGTCCAGTTTGAGAAAACATGTGAAGAATCATTCAGAGCCACCGATTTCATTGTCTAATCCTTCGTTAACGCCAGATAGTAAAAATTCTGGTAATATAATTAGTAATAATAACTTACGGCACGATTCAATTACGAGTTCAAAGCAGCAACAGCAACAGATCGGCTATACAGAAGAATCGAATTATCGAACGTATAAGACTTCGGAGTCTTATGCGGACGAGGACGTGGATCTGTTCCAGACGAATCTGTGTCAGGTCGATAGGATTTCCATGAACCTTGACAGCAATCAAGAATATATTCCTATCGATTCTGTGAAACGCTTTCTCATCGACGACGTCAATGGATCGCACGTGGATGGTACAGGTAAGGAAAAGATCTATAATTAACAAAGATTTAGATCATTCATACATATTCTTCATTAAAAGAAAAATGAGAAAATTGATAAAAAGTAAGAGATATTTTATATTAAAAATATTTAATACTTTTGTTTTAAAAAGCTTTTTCTTTTCTCTTATCTTTTTCTTTTCTTTACTTGATAAATTTTTTAACACTTGGAATGAAGTAACTAAAAAATTCTAAAAATATGCAATAAAGCAATTATTAACATATTTAATATATCTCTAAAATCATAAGCTTCATTAATTTCCTTAAATAAATAGAAGAATTATTTTCAATTTTCTATTCTAATTTAGGACTATAAATATATCAAATTTTAACAAAATTTAGATTAATACTTGTATTAATATTCGTATTAATACTTATGTTATATAAAAAAAACACATATCTTATTTACTATTCAAAGAAAAAAAAATGAAAAATAATCAATTATACGAAATAGTAGAAAATGAGAAAAATAAAATGTTTGAGATCATGAATGAAACATAATGTCATATATACGTACACGAGAATTTATATAAATAAATTCTGGAAATGAAATGAAGAAACGTATTTATCAGAAAATTTAAATCATTTTAATATCATTCCTTGTATATTTTATGATCGAAGGATGATCAAATGAACAAAGAAAATTTTTCGTACAGGAAATTTTAATTGTATCCAAAGCGCATCGATAAAAATTCGAAGAACGCGTAGTAAAGCCAGCACGAGGCAAACATTTCGACAAAAAAGTCGGCCTATCGTTGTTCGCCGACCCGTACGAATCTTTATTGTACTGGTACCGCGCGTGCTATCTTTTTCTGTCACGGTGAATGGTAACGATGCCGATGACAGTGCGCGTTTCGCTCCACCATGCTTAATCTCAGAGGAGGTTCAAACGCTTTACGCGTTTACCCCACACCGAGTCTTAAAATAATATTCCAGAGTTTTTTGGTCTGGAGCACACGCACGTACGCACGCGCCAAAACAGACGATGCCACTGTCACGTGCGACACACGCGTGCCCTTTTAAATTCCAGCCCTCTCGAAGCTGCGATTTCTATCAAATAATATAACTAGAAAGATAAGATCAATTTCAATATTTTGTATTCGCGAATCCAAATTAATGGAAATACTTAAGTTTCATTTCGTCGAATTTGGTTGTATCATTCATTAAAGATGAGATCATCAGATTGAATCAGATTGAAAATATGTTCAAATTTGATTAAAAAATACCGAATATCTGAATATTTTATAATATTATTATAATTCTAATATTTTCTAATTGTCTCTAAGCAATAATGGAAAGAAAGAACTAATACTTTTCAATACTTTTAAATAATCTAATAAATGCTTTTAAACATTCTTTATAAGTATTATATGGATAAATAAAAAAAAAAATTATTTTTAATAGATTCAATATATATGAAAATAGTTGTTGGCCGAAAGTTCTTGCATCAGAAATTATATGTGACAATGAATGAATTAGGCACAAGAAATTAGCTATCTCCTTTTATCTACGTTATCTTCTCTATTTCATCTCTTTACTAAATATATATATTTGCATACAAGAACTCATATAAAATAACTTTTTCAGAATTTTCATAATTTATATCTTGATTCAACTTAAAGTAATTTTTTTTTATACAAGTATTCAAATTTCTAATCAAATAATCTGCAATATATTATTTAATCTCATTCTGTATATGATTATTTCAAAGATCCACTTTTTATTTTTAAATTGTTCAAAATTTATTTTCAATTGACGACGAATTTAATTAATTTAGAAATCATATCTTTTAAATCTTTAGTTTTATAAAAAAAAATATTAGCGCACTAGTAATCATCGATATTTATTTTTTTTTTACAGGATACCAGGTCGAGGATGAAGTTCCTGACTTTCAAGAGCTTGGTTCAGATATTGAACAGCAGTTTTTCGAATTAAGTAATCTGGATGATGCGGTTTTCATCGATGGCTAAGGAAAATGTTTAGAAGAAAGAGATTCGAGATGTCTTCATGGTGAATGCCAATATTTCCAAAGACTTTTTCCATTTTTTTTTGTACTCGATTTTTATACGCTGATTCGATTACTTGATAGATATATTTTTGTACATAGACAATTGTATATATTATAATTAAATATATGATTTTGATTATTATCAATTTTCATATTCCTTTGGATCGTATGATTTCATGTGAATTAAAAAGAAATCTGATTTCTCATTTTATTTTCTGAATTCTAATGTGAAAATTAGTAGTAATAAAATTAAATTTTTATGTAAGAATAGGAAAATTTGTTATGCTTATAAAAGATGAATAGTTTATTTTTGTATTTCTCATATATTGAGTCATATATAGTGACACTTTTTTCTGGATAATTATTCAGTTACAATTTCTTAATACAATAGATATATATTTTTCCAATACATAATTTCCACACAAATCAATTTTATTAATAATTTTCTCACATGTCATAATCATTACACAAATGTTTAACAAAATACGTAGCTTATACAAAATACAATATCATTGCGAAAAATCAAGAAGTTTGCTTTCACAAGTGGGAATTAGAATTCTCTTTTCCATATTGAATTTATCATTAACTTATATAACTAACTATATATAATCCTTCACGTGGATTATAGCGAAACACTGCAGTTTGTATAAAAATGTGATCCATTCACTACAAAGATCTTTTAGTAGCAAAAGGGTTAAGTAATGATTATTTGCAAGCACTGCATTGAGACGGTTTCGTTCCATCTAAAGAGTCGCAAATTAATTTAAAGAAATTATTTTGTGCAGCGCTTTGTATCTCCCTTGAATTCACCTGAAATAAACGAATGATTAAATATAATCATGAATTTAAGAATGATTAAAGAATGATTCAGCATTAATTGAACACGCATACAAAAGAAACGTGCTTGCAATATTGAATACTCACTCCATTGATTGTGATCGTTGGAACAAAAGAGAGATCGGGTTTCAACTCTTGCGTTTTCTTGCCATACTCAACCAACAATTCATTAGATAGAGAGCTGTTAATGCATTCGTTAATGCTCGCTTGCGTTTGTTCGTTTAATCCTTCTTTTTCGGCGCACTAGAAGTTTAATCAAATTATTTTTATAAAAAAATTTCATCTATTTTAAAAATATAAAATTTTTGTGAAATTTTTAATAGTTTTTTTAAAGAAGTTTTTTTTATCGAAAATATTAAATTTTAATTTAGATATGCTGACTAATTTAAATAATTAATTTTAATTATAAAATTATAATTATATCAAATTTCTTAATTATATCAAATTTCAAATTTCATAAATATGAATGCTGTATAATTTTAAAAAATTTAAATGTTAGAATAAAAAATTAATAATAATGTAAAATAATAATAATTATTATTATAGATATTAAAAATATTGAAAAAAATATTGAAAAACTTCAATAATTTATCTCTTTAATACTTCTCTTTACTCTATCAATGCTTCTTAAAAATTGTGACATAAGGACAAAACATTAACTTTATAAACGTTTTTTTTGCTGATAAAATCGATAATTTCCGTTATCTAAAAACATTCTTATCTTGCTATTATATATAGTAACATTAGTAACTTGGAGTTTTTAAATCTCTTAATATTTTCAATATCTCTGGCTAATAATTTATAATTTAGTACTCATACGAAATAAGATTATAATTGAAAACTGGACATAAAAAAAAATTATATGAATAAAAAGTTCTTAAGAAAACAATTTTTTAATTACAAATATCTATATCTCATTTACTCTAATATATCTATATCTCATTTTTTATTTTAATATTTTTATTTTAATAATTTTAAATTTAAGTACTTATGAAATATACGAAACTTTTTAATCAGATCTCATTCAATTTTAATAATTGCTGAATGTTTTTTATTGGAAGCATGTGCAAATTTGTTTTATAAAAATCTTTTATAAATATGTATTTTTGTATTTTTGTATACATGAATCATAAAATATGATTTTTGATTAAAAATTAACGAAAAATCTTGACGATCATTGAATATTGCTAAGAAGAAAATGATAAATAAATATATACCTCTAGAATGGAAGATGGTGGGAATCGCGACGTCATTGCACAACCAATCAAACTCACAGTAAGTTGTTGAATTTTATCAGCCGATTCGTTGTTCTGTATCGCATGAATGCCACATGCCTGAGCCTTATTCCCATTGCACTCGTCTATTCCATGTTGACATGAGAAGTGCCATTTTTGAGTGTTAGGATCTTGCCAGTACTATATATTTAGAATTAGATAATATTCAGTACAATAAATTAATTTTTAAACTTCGTAATATATAAATAATTTTGTAAACTTGCTGGAAAAATAACATAACTCAAAATTTATATTTATTGATATAGAAAATCGTTGCTTGTATTTTTTTTTTAACCTAAAGTAAGTCCTGTAAGTAAGATTTTAAATTGTAAATTTTTAATTTGATATTTCAATATAATGTGATTTGATTCAAAATGATTACCTTTTAAAAAATCGTAATTTTTTAATCATTTCTAATTATGTCACAATTCTAATGAATATGTGATAAGAAGCAATAGTATATATGTAATAACATGATAATAACTTTTTTTTGAATTTTTTTTTAAAATGCATTTTTGAATCAATCAATGTAAAAACAATATCAATATTAAATTAAGATTGCAAATAATATATAAATGATAAATAAATCGATACTATAAATATAATATATTTAAGCACAAGTTAAAATAATTTTAGAATATAAACAATTTTTATAATTAATTTTTAATCTAGTTAATAATTACTTTTAATTCTTAAGAAGAATTAAAGATTGATTAAATAAAGATTGCAATAAATAATTTAAATTGTAAAACTTTAATTGAAATTTTTTTAATTATATTAAATGTTTTCAAAATCGATATATTATAATAAATAAGATAGAGGAAGTTTTAATGCAAACCACAACTCACCGTTGCTTTCCCATAGGGAATGAAAGAAACGCTGATGTAATCCTTTAGTATATCATATTGAGGCAATAGTTGTTGTTTGATCCATCGTATACTATCTGGACACAGCGATTCATAATAAACATCAACATTTAATCTGTTTGTTGCTACATTGCTGGCCACCTATACAATTAGATAGTAAATTATCATGAACTAATTATAAAAATGCAATATCTAATTATGTCTATCATGTTTATTATTTTTTTTCTACAGTTATAATAAAATATAAGTAATATTTAACGAAATTATATTCATCAGTGATCTATATTCTTTTTATGTAATTTATTTTTATATTATTTCGGTATTTTATATTATATTAAAAATTAATACTTAAAATTTTGATATATTTTATTTTTAAATAATATTCATAATTTATTTTTAATATGAAATTATTATATATAATTGTAATAATATTATTATATAAATATAATAAGTATAATAAATATAATAATAAATATTATATTTTTTCTTCATTTCATCGCAATATTTTATAATATTCTAAAATCTTTATATACTTCAAAATATTGCAAAATTTTAATAATTAAGTTATGAAATTACAATACAACTTATGAATTTTAAAATTCGTAACTTAGTTCATGATGAATTAATCAATAAGATTGTAATTCAATTAGTGGGTAAAAAAGATATAATATATTTTTCAATCTCTTGTAACTCTTAAAACAAAGAAACAGCATCATCATGAATATCTAATAAACAGGTTCAGGTACTCAAGATTAAAACTTCTTTAAAACCGGATTTATTTTTAGCATTCTACTAGTGTACAAAAATAAAAAGTTATTAGAGTTCCAAATTAAAATTATCAATCAATCATTAGATATCAAATCAATTGATATTAATTTTTTTTCATTTTGTTAAAAAAATTACTAGAAAAGACAGAAGTATTGAAACAATGATATAATTACGAAATTGCAAATAATTGTTCTTGTTATCTAACATATCAAAAGATCAAAGAAATTAGATTAAGATTTATATATATACACATTTTTTTAAATATAACTAATTTTTGTAAATAATATAAAAATTCTTGAAAAATTAAAAAATATATTATGAAAAATCAAATATAGAACATTAGAAAATAATCCTTAAAAAAAAAAGGAATCGACATAGAAAAGAAAGTTATTATTTATGCAGTTACTATTAAAAAGGATTAATTTTTATTTATAAATAATATAAAAAAATTAATTATTTTATTTCAAATAAGTAAAAAAAATAATAATACAAAGTTTTATATTATAATAATTAAATAATTATAGAGAATATTTTACATATACATTATTAATAAATATTATGGATTAAATAGATGGATTAAATTTCGAGACGCAAATTTGTAATACTCTGCATGAATCATAAATCATAAATTGGCTAGCTACTATAATCCATTACTTGAGGGTTAAAATAATATGTTTGGTACAACTTGTAGACGAGAGAATATTAATAATAATATTATTTTTATTATTTGTTAATTAAGTAAAAAAAATATTTAAAAATATAAAAATGATTTCAATAAAAATAAATTATCTATGTAAAATAGAAATCAATTAATTGCAATTTAAAAATAACTTATTTTAATATATAAAACTCTATTCTATACTTTTGTCCATTATAATCTCTTGTAATAATCCATAATATTTAAAAAAGATCAATCAATGATTAAATTGTCATTATTGTGGATACAAAAATTTATTTATTCAGACACATCCTTTTTATTGTATCATATTTATGTTTTTAAAATGAATTTAATTCGCAATGCTTAATTTTCCAATGAAAAATTAATTATAAATGAATATAATAAAAATTAATTGATATACATATGATATATACATATTATATAATATAGAAAAAAACAAAAATTGTACATTTTAAATAAAAATATATAGAATCTCTATATTTCAAATGAAAATAAAAGAAAATTCCAAATGACATTATAAAATTTTCTATTTAGAATTATAAGAGAAATATAATAGAAAAAAAATTCTTTTAATTTAAAATTTCAATAAATAAAATTTTGTATTCAAAATTGTAAATTCTAAATAAAGACACACAAAATTTAAAATTACATTTAAAATTAATCTTTAAAAATATATGCTTGACGACAATCCATTAAAAGTGAAACTAAAAGAATTTTCACTCACCGAGTCACTATGACCGAGGAACGCAACGAGGAGTATGGCCGCGATGAAGGAGCTCGAAGTAAACAGATAGCACCGCATGATCTTTCTGGTACGCTTTCAAACCGGCCACCGGCCTTTAAACTAGCTTTGTCTATAGCGATGTCGACCGATGCTGAGGTGGGAGACTTCGAAAATGTAGAAGGGGGCTGCTAGAAAGAGCAAGAACAAGAGAGACATGGAAGGGAAGAGAGACAAATAATCAATAATACGTTCGATGGCATTTAAAACATTCCCTTGCGAGGAATACTTGCACCATTCTTACTTCGATTCATCTTTTATCCTTCGAATGTACCAACGTTCATAAATATCCGATTTGAGTATTAGTTAGAAGTAAAATATTTGAAAAATATTTAATATCTGATATGATATTCATATTATAATATATATATTTAATATTACATACATATATTTGAATTAATAATTTTGTGATTATTTTAAAATAATATCTTCTGAAATAGTTTTTCAAATAATTTCTGTATTATGCCAATCAGTAGTAAATTAAAATAAAAACTATTCTAAAAGAAAATACTATTACTTTTCAAAATAATATAAATTTATTTTTCATTACTCAAATAAATATAGATATACAAAATTTAATATTTAGCATCATAATATATTTTATATTATTATATATTACTCTATTTAAAAAAATTAATTAATATAAATCATTATTTGAGCATGATTTATTTGAGTTTTATATAAAATAAAATTATTTTGATAATAAATTAAAGAAAAATAATTATGAAATTAAATCATTTAATGACTTACCAATAGTATATTATATTTAAATACACAATTATTCATTATTCACAAATTTTACATATAATTGTTTGATAATTAAAATATCAATAGCCATTTTATTATTTCAAAAAAACTTTTATGTTTAATTTAGAAAACTAAATTAAATCTAAAATTAAAAAACTTTTTGTAAAAACAAAGTAAAACAATAATTACGAATGTCAATCTTTGTTAATCTTTAAAAAAGTTATTTTAATTTTAGAAAAATAATCATTAATAGTAAAATCATTTAATTAGTTAAATAATTAATTAATTAATTACATACTGTTAAAAATAAGTATCGCGATATTTTTTACCAGAATATTTATATAAAACCTGTATTTGATTGATAGCTTATTTCTCTTTTCTCTTTGTTCTTTCCTCTGAATAATCTCTTTTGTCTCGAGGGCACTATGAAAAGTTAAAGTAATATTTATAACTAAAAATATTTTATTAACAAAAATAATCTTGATGGAAATCTTGAGAAATTTGTTTCAGACAGGTTTGATGAATTATAAATTTGTATGTCATATAATAATAACTTCTTAAATATTCAATAAAATAAAAAATTAATTAAAAAAATTTTTTTTTTTTTATTAATAGAAGCTTATTCAAAATTCATTTTAAAATAAAAACAAAAAAGTAAAAATAAGAAGTAAATAATAATTTTTATTAATAAAAATTAAAAAATTTTAAAGTTTAAATAGAAATTTAATACGTCTATAATATATTTTAAATTATAAAAATAATAACATATAAACAAAAAATAACATATTGTAATGTTTGTGATGTAATTTCATTTTTTTATAATTATAATTTTATATAATTAGTTTTGATTTTAATTTGTATAATTTTTTTTAGAAATTGTCAAATATGATGAATTATTCAAACATAATATTTGATTAACCTTTATCTGAAATCGATAAATGGACAAAAATGGATTTTTTTCTGAAAATGTTGATTGTGTTGACTATATATTTAAAAAATTATTAAAACTGAATAAATATTTTTTGTAAAATTATCATTATTTTTTGTAAAATTTATACTAATTAAAAAAATTGTAAAAATTTAATTTATTATTTATTAACTTACTTAATAATTTATTTGGAATTAATTTTTGTAGATAATTTCTTATGAAGAATTTATTTTCATTCCACTTTGAATCTAGAATTATATCATTTCTTAAATAGAACGCTAGTTTTTATCAAATATATACGTTCCTATTAACGTGAGATGCGATGCGTCTCACTTAGAGTGAAACAATAAATTAAAGTATTAATGGAAAGAAATTAGCTACGAAAAATTGTGTTGTGTTGTACATAAATATACATACAAAAAAAAAAAAAACAAAATATATACAAAAAAACAAAATACATAAAAAAAAATATTTATAAAACAAGTTATATTTATTATTTTTAATCTTTTTTTTTAAAAACTATTATTATTATTATATTGTAAGAGAAAATTAATTTCTTTAATATTGAGGAAATTGATTTATACAAAAAAAGAATTTAAAAAAAAATTTTTATTTTTATTTTATTATTATTATTATTTTTATTTTTTTCTTTTATATATGTATTTTCTATTAGCTTAAAATTTTTCATTTGTGATACTTACCTTTCATAATACTTTTAATAATTGAATTAATAAAGTCAATTTAATATAAAAATTATTGATATTTTAAATAAAAAATAAAAAAATATTGTATGATTGAAAAACTGATTACTAAATTAGATGTAAATATAAAAGCTATAAAAAGTGAAACAAATTGCACATTTCGATTTACAATAAACATCAAGAACATGAAAAACATGAACATGAAGAATTGTCGTTAAAAAGATATTTAATTTTAAGTAATCTAACATAGCAAACAAAAGATTTTTACAAATTTCTCATTAGAAATATAAGTATATTAAATGACAAATTGCTATTAAACAATGATCTGTACATAATTGTTTGCAATGTAATTAAAAATAATTATTTGATAATTTGTTTTCAAAATTTCTATTAAAGACAATTATAATTGTTTTTAATTAAGTTTATTTTAAAAAATACAATAATGTACTAATAAATGTATTAGTAGCCCAACTTTTAATTTAATCATAAAACTACAAAATAAAGATTGAATATGTATGTAATTTTTATCATTTCTTGACATAAAATTATCATTTCTATGATATAAAAAAATAATCTTTCAAAATTTAATAGTCAGGCCTTAAAAAGCCAAGATTTAATAATAAATAATTCATGCTCATTTGTTTATATATATATATATATATATATATATATGTGCAATTTGATAAATATAAAAGAAGTAATAGAAATATTTTGAGTTTATTAAATTATAAATTTTTAAATAATTAAACAATGAAGATAATACTTTAATAAAAACAAAAATCTCTCATAGAATTGAGATCATAATTTGGTACTTATAAAATTATATCTTTTTATAATACATATGTTCATTGAATAAAAGATTATAATTAATCACTATTATATTTACTACAAAATTTTATCTTCATATCTACTATACACAATATAATAATAACAAAATAAAATTAAAGGTTAATACCCTGATGAAATTTTATTGAACTTCTATTTTGTTGTAATTCCTTCATTATTTCTTCAGCTCGTAATCTGAAAGTGTTTGCCAATTCTGCATTTTGTTGCACACCATCACCCTTTTTATGCATTAAAGATACATTGGCGCATGCATAGGGATTGTTCAATTCACAACACTTTAATGATAATACATATGCTTCCTTTAAATTTTTTTCTATAATTCCTTCTATACCACTTAAGAAAATGCCTGATAAATAAAAACAAGCTTTCTCTTGGTTAGCATCACAAGCCTTTCTTAGCAGTTTAATTCCAAGGGAAATCTGAGAATTCTTGCTTGATTCAAGTTTTGTCTGAGATAATGCAAGAGCGCCTGCATGAAGACAACCTCTTGGATCACTATTATCACAACCTTTTTGCATGTATTTGAATGCCTCTATAGGATCCTTTGCACATTCTTTACCTATATGAATTCAATTTGTAATTTTACAAATAATAAATAATTTAATCAATATTAACATTAAAATTATTAAAAACACAAAATTATTAAAAACAAAAAATAATATCATATCATAAATTGTACTTGATAAATAAATGAAAATATTTTCGCAATACGCTATTTTATGCGTTATTTTTACTTACCTATTACTTTATAATCACCATATTTTGTGCAACTTCTTCCATAATTGAATTCATCACAATTATTTTTATATATTTTTAATGCTTCTTTAGAATCTTGTTTAATAGATTCGTTATAATCACCCAATAAATGGCAAACTATTCAAAAACATAAAATATTATAAAATATGAGGTTAGAATCATTAACGATTTCATTACCTTCAGGTTTTTTCTCATTTAAACATCCAAATTGATATTCTATATGAAGATTTTTTAAATATTCTTGAACTTCGTCGCTATTTTTAAGATCATATCCTGCCATTTCTTAAATATTTTAAAATCACAATTTTATATCAAAATCATCAATAAGATAAGCACATGGTTTCTATGTGGAAGACCAATCACGACGAAATGATGTGCGTGCGCATTCTATGATTTTTCGAATGAGCGCAAGTCGACAACGAAGGTATTAGTAATTCACACGTTGGAACGTATTTGTCAGTTCAGGTGTGCTTGTCATGCGGTATACTATACATGTCAAATTATTCTGAAACTACATATGAAAAATTATTCCTCATAATTATAAGATAATTCATATGTTGAGGAAGAAAATATACGTTATATTAAAGTAAGTAACGAAAAAATTTATTAATACTTTTTACTAAATTTTTAATAAAACTTAATATAAATTGTTTTTAATAAAAATTTATATTCTTTTATTCTTTTTAAAATTTGTTTGAATTACATATTTGATGTTTTAATTGTTTTGATATCAAATTAAGGTTACCAAATTATATTATTTTATATGAAAATCTTAAGATTTTAAAACATATGTAACAATTATAAAAAAAAAATTAGAATTATCTTTTTTAGTTAAAAATTTTGTATTTTTTTTTTAAATTTATGTTAAGTAATTTTTCACATAATAAATAAAAATAGAATATTTTATTAATTCAAAAGAAAGAATTTTATAATCTAATGAAATATAAATAATATATTATATAACAATATATATAAATATTTGCATAATTTTTAGTAAATTAAAAGTTAAGTTTGATATTTTTGACTTAAAAGACTTATAAAAAACAAAAATTATAAATAAAATGTACAAAATTTCTTTGATCATTTAAATGTATTTGAATATGTATTTATATTAAAATATATTTAAATAAATATGATAAATGAAAAAATTTATATAAGTATCATTCTATCATAAAGATATATTCAAAATTACATTATTCCAAACTTTTCTTCTATTATGTTAATTTTCAGAATTATCAAAACATTTATTTGATTAAAAGGCCGTCTTTTTATCTTTTCTTGAGAATTGATCAGAATTCATGTATATATTATCAAGCGTAAATATAGAATAAATTATATGTACCTCTTTAACTTTATTCTCGATGTATCGTAATATATATATGTATGTATGTATTTATGTGCTTTTGTATCTAACATAACTTTTTTTGACATGAGAACATCAGTGATTATCTATATAGGATTAAGTTATCTATATAGGATTAGTAAGTACTTTCATACTCATCTATTAACCTTTTGCACTTGACCTATTTACATATTCACTGTCTGTCCAATTTGATTGATATTCCGATTCTATGCGATTATATATAGGTAGTACTTTAAATGATATGATTGATTATATTTACAACTTATTTAATGTTTTTTACATACACTTAATACATATATTAAATATTTTTATTTATGAATATACATACATATAAAATACTTTATTTTCAGTTTATTTATTATTTATTTTATCTATAATAATAAATAAAACATTGAATATTAATAACTAGATCTTAAGAGAAAAAATAGAAATAATTTCTTAGAATTTATCTATAGATCTTAACAAGTTAATATTTCATTATTTTTAATATGTGACATAATGATTTTATTAAATTACAATTAAATTAATTAAATGACTTCAATAATATAATTCTTATATTATTTTTTAAAATAATTCAGTATATTATTTCATATTATACTTTCATATTATAAATAATAATTTAAAATTTATGTATGATATATCTACTTATAATATATATGTATCATATATATAATATATATACATTTAATTTTAATTTTAAATTATCAAATTTTTATTATATTATATAATTTCAAACAATATGTTTCACATTTAAATATATTTCTATGATCATGTATTTATACAAAAATAGATGTATATGAGTATATGCCATAATTTAAGATGATTCAACGCTTAAGTGAATTCAAGGACAACACACACATTCTATTAACACATAAATAAAATATTTAATAACTAAAAATTACTTAATTATTTAATTATTATATTTAATAACTAAAAATTACTAAATTCTTAAAAAACACATCGATTGGTATCGCTTCTAATGGCGTCAAAAATATTATTAAATATTATTATTATTATTAAATATTATTAAATATTATATTATAATTACATAAAATATTCTAATCTCATCTAATATTCAAAAAAAATTTATTTAAATTAGCTATAACATTTTTTAAACTTTTAGATTGATATTTTATTCAATTTGAAATAATTTTCAATTTTTTAATATATATTCGACTTTTTTTTATGTTTCAAAATATATTCACATTTCGTTTGTTTTTTTATTTTCTATTTTTTAATATTATTTTTACGCATGTTATCGCTTTTTGATATAGCGATTTTGAAATATACGTTAATTATAAAATAAAAATTCATAAAAACACACAAAAAATTGACATAATTATATTAATAGTATTGATATATGAATATATATATTTCAAAATATTTTATAGAAATTAAATAAAAATTATAAAATAAAATTCATTAAATTAATAAAATTAAATTAATTAAAAAATTAAATCAATTAAATTAATAAAATAATTAAATTACTATACTTTATTATACGTTACTATTATTGATCTTATTGATTTTTCTTATATGCAAACGTTTTTAATTTTTATAATTTTAAAAAATAGTCAAAATTATACTTTTTATAAAATAAAATAAAATTTATTGCGTATTTCGTCTTGTTGAAATTCGTTCATACAACGCCAAATTTGATCGCAAGGCGGAGTCTGATCTAGTTTCTTTTCATCTCCAGATGAGCGAGTCTGTGAAAGTGGCCGTAAGATGTCGGCCGATGAATGCTCGAGAGTTGCAACAGGGATGCAGGGTACGTTCACAGTGAAGAAGACCAATGAACACAACATCGATGCTTCAAAATTTGTATTACATGCACTTATATGAATCAACCAACATGCACTATGATGCTTCTATTTCTTTTTCTTGTTTTGTTTATCTCTTGAAAATATGTGGAAAACTCATTGTTCTATTGAACGCATTGTAGCCTAGCGACCATATCAAAACATGCGACTGACATGCATTAACGCTACAATGTTCATGTTTGATTTTTCATGGTATGTTCTTTTGTAAATTTCTTTTTTTTTTTATCTAAATTGATTAGATACATGACATCAATTAAATATCAAATCGTTATTTAGATTGCTATAAAAAGCAATTTTTTTTCAATTAAAATTTTGATAGAAAATTTTTACGATGTCTAACTTGTCTGTTTCAATAGAAAGTTTCTTTTTGATAGAAAGTTTCTTTTCTTTTATTATTACTTTATATAATATGATGTGATTTTAAAGATTCAAATTATAAAGAACATTGATATAATTAAAAATTCGTTCGAAAAATTAAATTTTTTAACAGGAATTATTTCTCTTTAGTTTCACAATATGTAATTCTATATTTATATGATTATTTTATAAAATGTTGTTTCGCACCGATTTCAAATTTAATTTCATTTTAATAAAAGTTTGGAAATGTATTTTTAATATTTCGTAAAGATTTCATTTTATATATATATATATATATTAAACATAATTATTGTGATATTTTTCATATTAAAATATAATATCTCATTCGTTTTATATATTTTTAATTAAAAAATTTTTTATTTTTTTTTCAGCATCTATTTTATCTAAATTATCGTTAGAAATTTTTTTTTAATACAAAATTTTAATATAAAATTAATTATGATATAAAATATCAAGAATTTGAGTTTCTGTTAAATAAAAGAATAAGTTAAATACTATAATTAATGAATTCAAAAATTTATACTAAAAATATTAAATAAAAATATCTTGTATTTTTTATATTCCTTTTCATCCCATTATTTTTCAACGATAAAAGTATAAATTTCAAGGAATATTATAACAGAATATTATAATAAACTAGTTTATTTATATGAACAATTATTGATTGTTTCATTTTTCTATGTTTTATAGATTATAAAAATAATTATAAAAATATATACAATGGTATGCAAGAATTATATACTTTTTTTAACTTTGAAAAATATAATTAATTTTATTACAGTGTCATTTTCTATAAAAAAAATTATTATACTTATTATTAATTATTAAGATGTTAAAGATTATCTAATTAATAATTCAAGAAAAGATTCAAAAAAATTTATCTGACTGACTTTTATACGTCACTGTTATATATTTATTATGAATCATATATATAATCACATTCACTCAAAAATCTAATATACACGCGCATTTCATGTGTCAGTGTGTCAACCACGTGTATCGTCATGCATAAGCGTAAAAGAAGGAAAAATACGAAAAAAAATAAAGTGGTGTCATAACTGTAGCTTTCCATCGATTTGGCATATATTCCTATCGATAAGCAACACTGTAGTAAACATTCACGTACTATATGAGAAAGACGTGAATTCAATATCGCTATCTATGCACCACGTATACACAGATCAGCTTAGCGTGCTGTTACCTTCTGAATATATTATGGAATAGTAAATTTAATGACGACTTAACGTTCACGAAGCTTCGTAATATATTTAGTCATGGAGAACATTGATAGACATTCTATGAGAATGAAAAGTTAACATTTGAAAGGCAAAATAATTTTTTTCTTTTATTGTTTAAAAATATAAAATATAAACTTCGTTTTTTATATATTTATTTAAATTTTTATAATTTAGGAATGTAGGTTATGTAAGAATGCAGAAAGATAAAATGAAAGATGATTAAATGGTTTACTAAGGAAAAAAATTATTGGAAAAAACGTTCATTATTTACTTCTTAATATATTTAGTAAGTTTAATTTTCAATTGTTATCTTTAATTCACGGATCATTATAATAATATTAATTACTTTCAAGTAATATGTAATTTTAGATTATCGTATTTTGTTTAGAAATAAATATTTAGTTGTTTATTGCAAAAAATAATATCTTATCTTAAATAACGAAATAATAATTATTGTAACTGATAATAATATTATAAATAGTTATAAATTTTTAAATATATTATATTTGATTATATATAATATAATATATAATTATATTGCGTATTGCATTAAATTGATAGAAAAATTATATCTCTATATTGAATTCTTTATATTTTCATTTCATATTTTTTTTGATAATATTTTAATGATGTTTTAGTAATATTTAATATTTATATTTATATAGACTTAAACATAAAAATTTTAATATTCGAAAAATTTTTTATAAACATTATTTAATTAGATTATCAGTAGCCTAATTAAAAAATATCTAATTAAAAAATATTTTATATCGATTTTTAAAATATAATAGCAATATTTTAAATAAAAAATATATACATATATAATATTTTTGTACAAAGAAAAATTATTATTGCGTTATTATTATTTCCACGAAATTGAATCAATAACAGTATAAACTGATGTTTCACAAGTAATCACGTTTTATTAATGTTCGTATAAAATCAAAGGTCAATTAATTGAATTTATAGAAAGATAACGATAAGTTTAACATAAATATTTTATATATTTTAGGATATACCTTATGTTATAGGTTTATGTTATATATTTTAGAAATAAATATATAAATATATAAACATTTTTTTTAATCATTTAA